CCTACATGGGATCCGAACCCGTGGCCTTGGTGTTATCAGCACCACACTCTCCCGAGTGAGCCACGGGCCCCATCCCTACATGGGATCCGAACCCGTGGCCTTGGTGTTATCAGCACCACACTCTCCCGAGTGAGCCACGGGCCGCTTTTTTAAAATGGTAAAAATTCAGGGCCGGCCCGTGGCTCACTCGGGAGAGTGTGGTGCTGATAACACCAAGGCCACGGGTTCGGATCCCATGTAGGGATGGCCGGTTTGCTCACTGGGTGAGCGTGGGGCTGACAACACCAAGCCAAGGGTTAAGATCCCCTTACCGGTCATCTTTTAAGAAAAAAAAAAAAAAAAAAAAAAACTGGTAAAAATTATTTACAGTTACTACTTTCTTGGGATAACTGTTTTAGACCAATAAATAGGGCCTGACTGGAATTTTGCTTTTCCTTGATAATGAATGCTTCAACAGTTAGCTTCTGCTGCATAGAAAACTATCCCCAAACCTCATGGCTTAAAATAACAACCATCTTATTTAGCTCATGCTTCACCAAATCAAGGTGGTTCTTCTAGTCTGGGATGGCTCGGGTGATCTCTGCTGGGCTCTCCCATGTGTCTGTGGTCAGCTTGTAGCTGGGTGACCTAGTGTGGCTTCTCTGCCATATCTGGCAGTTGGCAGGCTGTTAGCCGTGGTCCCTTGGTTTTCCTGCATGCATCTCTCATGCTCCAGCAGGCTAGCTCAGGCTCTTTCAGGTGGTTGTCTGTAGCAAGAGAAGGCCATCCCCAAGGCCTAGAGTCTTTGCTTCTGTCGCATTTGCTAATGCCTCATCGGCTGAAGCAAATCACCAGGCCAACCCAGACTCAACAGCAGACAGAGACCCCACTTCTTGAAAGTATCTGTCACAAATGCGGTGAACGCTGGAAAATGTCTGGGTAAATGAGCTCCTATTGAGTTTGTACACATATTTTGGAAATAGGATTGGGTCTGCGTGAAGGATCACCTCATTATTTCCTCTGTAAAGCCTCCCCCGATGTTACACTTAATAACCCAACTCCACTGAACAGAGGCCATCATGCCACTTAGAAAACAGAAGGAACTCACGCTTCTCCAGTATCCGGGCTCTTGACCATCACTACTCGTTGTATTGCGTTGAACCATCTCTCCTCCTCATCCTCCACTGACCTAGCCCTGTCCTGACCGTTTGTCCATTGCAGGCTTCTCAGTGTTTTCACTCCCCCTTGTCCTTCTGTCTTCAGTCAAATCCAGGTGGTCATTATGGATTGGCTCCATACCTCGTGTTGTACTCCCTGCGTGTGGCTTCTCTCTCCACTGGACTGTAACATCCAAAGAACATTTCTTTGGTGGGTGGGGGACTGGATAATAATACTAATAATAGGCAGCATTTGTTGAGTGCTTTGCATGCATCCTCTCACTAAATGCCCAGACAACGCACTTGCCCAGATCCCCCAGGGCACTGATTGGCTCCCATGGCCTGTGGGCAGGACCTATGTCTCAAGCTCCACCCCAAGACGGTGCCAGAGCAAGTCCAAGGATGGGCTCTGGGATTTGGACAGGATGGGGCCCTCGGCCCCCTGCGAGCAAACTTTCTGGGGTCTGAGATGTTCCTGCTCTGTCTTCCGTGCCCTGTCCGCATACCGAAGGCCTCATTAACCCTCTCAGAGCTCTGCCCAGAACCTGTGCTCAGCCACCTGCCCTCGTCCTCACAGTATTCCAGAAATTGTCCTTACTTTTTCTGCATACTTATTTCCTCCCCTAGACATAAGGACAGAGACCACCAGATCACAGGCATTTTTACATTTACCATGGCGCTGGGCAGAGCACCTTGGAAGCACGCGGATGTCCGCAGATATTGTTCCTAATGGTGATGGACACGATGGTAGCAGGGCCACCAAGAGGACAGAAGGGCGAAGGCCAGGGACAGGAAATTGGGAGAAGCGAACTTATTTCACCCTGAGGGGAGGCCCCTGGTGGGATTATGGGGGGCGGGGTGAGGATCGCCGGTTTAAGGGGTCCGGCCTAGGGGCGGAGTGCGGGGCAGGCCCCGGCCTTGGGAGGTCCAGACCCCCGTCCGGGGAGACGGGTCTTCCTGCAGTGTGCCCTGCCCTCTCTCAAGGCTTTTGTGAGGTTTCTTTTTGGCGGCTGGCCGGTACCGGGATCCGAACCCTTTGCTCTCTAACCAGCTGCGCTAACCGGCCAGCCTTGCTTTTGGAGAAATAAAGCCGGGCTCAATTCCCTCCGCGGTCTGGCAAACGGGGCAGGGCGGGAGACCCCGGATGCCGGGCCCGGAAAGCCGCCAGGACAGTGGTTCCGCCTGGGTCCTCGCCCCCGGCCTCGCCGCTCCTCCCGCCCACACCAGCCACGCCCACCCCGCCCTGGCCTTAGCCCCGCCCCGTCCAGCATTAGCCCCGCCCACACAACATGGATGAACCTTAAAAACCTTATGCTGAGTGAAAGAAGCCAGATGCGTAATAACTTCGTATAGCATACATTATACGAAGTTATACGACGGGGCCGGGTTTCAGGGCGAGCTGGCCGTTCGCGGGCCTTTGGTTAGCGCTGGGTTGGACGCGGCGGTGGAGTATTTAATAAGAAAGATGAAGTGTATCGTGTTTGGGAGAGACTGAGGAACAGATACATACGTTAGTTAATCTAATTAGCCAAACTGCTTGAATCACAACACTTAGTCCAAATATACCATTTGAGATTTATTTGCAATCAAACCCAGATTTTCTTTGCTGTTTAATGAGAAAACACTGTTGATTTTCTCGAACCTCGACGACCTGGTTCTGTATTTCTCGCTCCTTTCCCTACTCTTATTTTTAATACGTCTTTTTTCTCCTAATTTTCCTAAGAAAACAGTTAATATATTTTGAATATATGTATGTATTTGGAAAACTGGTTAAAGGTAGCGTCGATTGATTCAGTACAAAAGTGAAAGTGAAGTTTTTAAAAGAATGGTTTATAACGTTTCACTTTCAGTTTGGAGCACTAATATTAATGGATTTTGTGTCTTCTTGGTTTTATGTGGAACATTCTGTGTCATGCAGGAAACTCTTAACTTCTACAGTTAAAAATGGAAAACTGATTTATTAAACATTTCCTCTTTTTTTTTTTTTTTAAAAAAAAAAGATGACCGGTAAGGGGATCTTAACCCTTGACTTGGTGTTGTCAGCACCACGCTCAGCCCGTGAGCGAACCGGCCATCCCTATATAGGATCCGAACCCGGGGCCTTGGTGTTATCAGCACCGCACTCTCCCGAGTGAGCCACGGGCCAGCCCAACATTTCTTCTTTTAACTTATTTAAAATATGCCTCATCGCTTATTCTGTTTTCTATAACTGGCGTTTTGTGAGTTTGAAGACAGTAGTTTAATTTTTGTAAAAACATTAAATCTCGCGCGGTGTAGACCATGGAGCTGTTGATTTGCTCCCTGGAACGTCAGACAGACTAAATTTGGGACACCCTTTGGTCCTTTAGCAGGTAGCGGCTTGGGTGGCGTTCTGCATTCAGCCTTCCAGATAACTGGGCTCCAGTAAGCCCATGAAATTATTCCCCCTAGTGGGATTGCTGTGGTATTTTATTCAGAATTTGTGATAGTTTATGAGTAGTATGTGGTCTTAAGTTGTCTGTGTTCGAAAAGCTTGTGCTCATAAGTACTAACATGTTCTGCTTTGAAAAGCAGTTGGTTAGTGCTGGAAAATCTGAGATTCTCCCGACATGCACACAGCACCCTCCTTGACTGTTTATTCCTTCCTCCCTTTTCTCCTTCCTACCGTGGTTTCCCTATTTCTTGCCCCCAAACTGACATAAAATAGTTTGAACTTTTACTTATTTATTTATTTCCCCACACCACGCTCTAATCAAGTGAGCTAACTGGCCAGCCCTTGAACTTTCTTTTAAAAATATTTGTTTATGGAATACACTTAAGCTACCAAACGATTTAAAAATCATTTTGGGTTTGGGGGGATGGAATAACAGCTCTCAATAGAAAAAGGTAAGTTACTTATCTAGGTTATACTAACTCATATGTTTTTTCCACCCTCTAGAACTCGTCTTCAGCATTCAGTAGATAATAACTTTTTACTCTTCTTACTCTTGTCTGGTTTGGCAGACCTTAAAGCACTGCACTGCACCTGCCAGCTGCTCCACCTCTCTCGACAGCCTTACCCACACCTAGTGAGGGATGACTAGACATTGCTATTGCCTGCTTCTTTGGGCAAGAGAAGTTACATTCATGGGACTGATAAACAGCAAGGGATTACATGACAAAGTCTAGAGTCAGTGTTGTAGGCAGAAATCCCAGTGCTAGTTATGGCACTGCTTAATTTTGTGACCTTGGCCACGTCATTTTACACACCCGAGGTCTTGGTTTTCTCAGCTGTAAAATGATGATCCAACCAGTGTTAGATTTGAATAGTATACGAAGATATGCTATTGTGCTGGTTTCACAAAGCATCATGTGAAATTTTTCCAGTATTGTAAATTTAAATTTTTAATTTAAAAAATTTAGCTATAAAGGATATTTATATATATATATATTATTCACAGTTCAAGCTAGCTTTTCTTTATGTTCAACTACCAGAGTGGTTGGTCTTTTGTGTTAAACTAGCCAAAGTATGAGAGACTTTACAAGGTCTATATTGAGTTGCCTAAAGAAGTTCATTACTTTAGGGATCCATCTTTCTCTTATTTTATCTTTTCTCTCAGATTAGAGAATAATAGCAAGTTAAGGATCAGACAATCATTTCTACATATTAGCAACTTTTAAATATGTATTTTATATTACATATGTAATATATAATTGAATATATATTTTAATATGTACATAAGAGAAATCTGGAGCTAGTTAAAACCTTAATAATTTAAAGTGTAGAGGAAGGGGAAGAGGGGAGCTGTACTTACTTTATAAAACACCTCAATATATTAGGTAAGTTATAAAACATTTAAAAATGTGGTATGGGGTTTTTATTGATAAGCAGTTTTGATTTTAAGGATGGCCCAAAAGAAATATCTTCAAGCAAAATTGACTCAGTTTTTAAGAGAAGACAGAATTCAACTTTGGAAGCCTCCATATACAGATGAAAATAAAGAAGTTGGTTTGGCACTAAAGGTATTTTTCTTTTAAGACATAAATAAGTAGCAGTGTTGTAAGTTTCCATGGTAAATAAGATTCTGAAGTCATGAGAAATTGCCAGACATGACCATATAAACTTTTGGCATAACCGAAAGCATTACTGATGGGAAGGTACCCGCTTTTTCCTAGGAGTTGACATTTTATTCATATGAGAATGTATCTAATTCTCAGGCGCATACTATTTCTCATACCTTTACAGCATTTCATAAAATTATTCATCTGGGAACTAATTTTGACCTGCTAGTGCTGCAGTACCAGTATGTTAGCATGTTATGTGTTCCAGGTGACATGTCCTGGTTGGTTCTCTGTCCTTGCTGTCGTTATCTGCTGTAAAACAATTGCTTTCCTCCCACAGTTTTTTACACTATGATGTTGAATTTTCCAAAATATGTATTTCTAACAATTGTGCCTGCTTTTTTTTTTTTTTTTTCCTTTTTGTCTTTTTTCGTGACCGGTAATGGGATCGCAACCCTTGGTGTCGCGCCCGTGCCGCGCTCAACCAGTGAGCGGACCGGTCTCTATATGGGATCTGAACCCTCAGCGGGAGCGCCACCGCACTCCCAAGCGCCGCACTCTACCGAGTGCGCCACCGGGCCGGGCCTTGTGCCTGCTTTTTATGGCATCATCAGAAATGGTATTATTTTTCGTAAGTGGCGTTCCTAGAAACTGAAGTTTGCCTGCTTTTCTAAGCAGAGAAACATTATTCTTTTTTGACAAATCTGTTATATTGAAATATCCTAGCCTGTAATTCTCTCCTTTCTCAGTTTGAGTATCTTGAACATGTTACTTTTGTCAGGGACTAAGGATTGTCATGAGGGCAGTAAATTGTCCTGTGTTGTGACAGAGCAATACACTTGGGAGGTGATCAGAATCTTTGTTTTTCTTTCTCTCCTGTTCCTCACAGACCTCACTGTCATGTTTTGCAGCCCATCCCCTGACCTTGCTTCTGAATTTGCTTGTAATAGTCTCTTGCCTCAGAAGCTAGGTGTGGCATAAGAAGAAAGATACTCGATTTTTGTCTCTGGTTCCTGGCAGAGCTAAAACCCTTGTAATATCCTGTCTGGTGAGGGCGATAGGAGCATCCTTTGTTCTGATGAGGCTTGGTGGCTCCTGGATAGTTCAGCCTCACTCTCAACGTTCAGGGATGGGAGAAGGTCTAGAGATTGATTTAATTACCAGTGGCCAATGATTTGATCAATGATGCCTATGTAATTATGCTTCCATTAAAACCCTTAAATGACAGAGTTTGGGGAGCTTCCAAATTGGCGAATACATCCATATGCCAGGAGGGTGGTGTACCCCAACTCTGCAGGGACAGAGGCTCCTGCACTCAGGACCATTCCAGACCTCACCTTAGTGCCTCTTCATCTTGGTGTTCATTTGTATCCTTTGTAATAGACTATAATAAGTATAGCATTTTCCTGAATTCTGTGAGACCTAGCAAATTATCAAACCTGAAGTCAGGGGTTGTGGGAACCCTCAACTTTGTATCTAAGTTGGACAGAAGTGTGGGTAATCCTGGGACCAGATACTTGGCAGCTGGCACCTAAAATAAGGACATTCTTGTGGGACTGAGCCCTTAAACCTGTGGAGTCTACTGCTAACTCTGGGTAGTAAGTGTCAGAATTGGATTGAATTGTAGCACTCTCAGTGTCAGAATTGGTTGATGACAGGAGGGAAAAAAAAATCCTGACTAGATGATTAGGTTTTCTAGAAAATTATAAAGCTGTAAAAAAAAAATGACTTTATTTAAAAAACTTATTTAATAATATACACTCAGGTTAAAAAAAGTATGTATATAATTAAATACAAAAAATATAAAGAATATGTTTTTAAAAATACATTAAACATCATCAGTATTGGTGTATTCTTCCAGTCTTTTTTTGTGTGACTTTTTTTAAAAAATTGTATTATAGGTGGGTTTATATTATTTTAAAAATATAATACTCTAATTTCTGTTTTATAACTTTATGTATATCATGAATATTTCCCCTATCATAGATAAATACTTACCCCATCATTTTGAAGTGTGGCATAGTATTGTATTATGAATTTAATGAAACCTTGGACTTTAGAGATTTTTCAGAGTGTTTCCTGTTTTATGAGATGTTTAATGAGATGTTAAGCCCTAAATTCAAATATTCTTTGGGGGAAGACACAGAGTGACTTAACTCTAAGTAATGACTGGTTCACATCCTTTTTTGAGTCCCGTTAAATCTTCTAAGTTTCCTTTCCCAATTCTTTTTTTTTTCCTTTTTGTCTTTTTTCATGTCCGGCAACGGATCGCAACCCTCAGTGTCGCGCCCGTACCAGACCGGGACCGGCAATGGGATTGCAACCCTCGGTGTTGCGCCCGCACCTCGCTCAGCCAGTGAGCGGCCGGTCTGTATGTGGGATCCGAACCCTCGGCGGGAGCGCCGCCGCACTTCCAAGCGGTGCACTGTAGCAGTGCGCCACCGGGCCAGCCCCTCCTTTCCCAATTCTAAATCTCTTCCTGGCAAATAATTTTACAACTGGTACCAGTGATTCAGAATTTTCCTTTAAGAAAATTACTTAAGTCTAACCTGACTTGTTCTCACAAGTTTGAAAAATTAGAATGTTTTCTTTTTTCCCTCCAGTGTTGAACAGTTTGCTGTTCCTTAAAATAATTTTTTAATATATTGTGGTCATATGTCATAGCCTACCCTTCTTTTCCTCCCAGGATAATCCCAATTATTTTCACTTTTTCTCTTGTCCCTGTTTTACTATCTATTTATAGATAAAACATTTATCTACTAATAAATGTTTGCATTTTCCCCTGGATCCTCTTTAAATGCCACACCTGTCACGATGTCAAGCCGCAGGGTGGATTTCAGTATAATAGCGGTGACCTCCACTCATCAGAGTTGATTGTCATAGAGTCTTTCGTGCCCTTTTCTGTATTTTGCCTTTTTTTTTTTTTTTTTTTTTTTGCGTTGGTACTGTGCTAATCTGCATTTTTTGATTTTTTCTTTATAGGACCTTGCTAAGAAGTACCCTTTTTTTTTTTTTTTTTTTTTTGCGTTGGTACTGTGCTAATCTGCATTTTTTGATTTTTTCTTTATAGGACCTTGCTAAGAAGTACTCTGACAAGCTAGAATGTTGTGAAAATGAAGTAGAAAAGATAATAGAAGAAATACGTTGCAAAGCGATTGACCGTGGAACAGGAAATAAAAATTACAGAACAACAGGGATTGCTACAATTGAGGTGTTTTTACCTTCAAGACTAAGAAAAGTGAGTCATTTCCCCAATTTACGTTTATTTATGCTTAGTAATGTGATCAAATAAGTCGTTTTTTATAAATCTATAATCCAGAGTTAAGATTCTTTTAAGTTACTTTATTTGTTGAACATTTATCAACAAAATAGTCAACAAAAGTCAATGTTATGCATTCTTAAACTGCAGCATTTCCAAGGTAGACTTGTTCTTTTTGGACGTCCAAAATTTCACAGAGCTGTGCATCACCTTCTTACCCTTTCTAGAGTTCAAATGTTTAGAAATAATGGGGAATAAAAGAGGACATCAGGTTTTCTAGAACCCTGTGCAGTAGGACACATCACAAAGGAAGTGATGTTTTGTTGGAGGTCAGAGGGCGGTCAACTGAATGCTCAAGCAAGGCCAAAATGACCTGGGTGGGGCCACTTCATCTCAGGGCCACATTCGTAATAGTTCACATCCAGAAATGTTACTGTGGCATGGTACCTACAGGTGGCTGGCCTCTCAGGACCAATCAATGTTAATCATCCTCAGAAGAAATAAAAGTATATATGTAAAAACTTGTACGTGAATCTTTATAGCAGCACTATTCACAATAGCCAAAAGGTGGAACTAGCCCAAATGTCCATCAACAGATGGATGGATAAGTAAATGTGGTATACCCATACAATGGAAAACTATTCAGCGATGAAAAGGAATGAGGTACTGATACATACAACATGGATGAACCTTAAAAACCTTATGCTGAGTGAAAGAAGCCAGATGCAGAAGGCCACATAATATATGATCCCATTTATATGAAATGTCCAGTACAGGCAAATCTGTAGAGACAGAAAATAGATTAGTGGTTGCCAGGGGCTGGGGGGAAAACAGTAGGGAATACGGGATGTAGGATAGGTGTTTCTTTAACGGATGATGAAAATGTTCTGAAGTTTGATTATATAAAAATGGCTGGCCCTGTGACAGACCCCTTTGAGCAGCCCTGCCTGGTGGTGCCACGCTGCTGCACCCTAGAGGACATTCGGGTTACAGGTCAGCTTGTGCTGGGTTATGTTCAACAGGCCTCTCCTCTAGGCAGGCAGCGTTTTACAATGACCTAAGTTTACACCCTCTGATATCAGCTTTTCTGATTTCATAGACAGGATAGTAGCTCCAAAAAATGTTAAATTCAAGTACATTTTATTTTATTTGTCTTATTTTTAAATAGGATAGGAAAAACTTATTGGAGACCCAGTTGCACATCACTGGCAAAGAATTGAGGTCTAAGTAAGTATCTGTGTGCTCTGTGTCCCAGGTGCTCTGGCTCTTTTTACATCGGCTCATTTGATCCTCTGTGACCATCCTGTAAGATAGGTAGGGCAGTTATTATCTCCATTTTATGGAAGAGAAACTCGAGGCTTTGAGGTTGAAGAACTTACTTGGGCTCACCCTGGTAGGTAAGTGGCAAAGTGAGAACTCAGGACTTACAACATGCTTCTTTATTTCCTGGTATAACTTTAGATCAGGTGGGAACTCCATGCCTACCACATAGGTACTTGGTGCATGTTTGAATGAATGAATGAGTGATATAAAGAGGAGATAGCCTGTTAGTCACTAGATTGTTAGTTTTGAATTCACTTGCATAGTCACTGACTGCTTGCTATGACATTCAACAGAGTGTTTTAGCCTATTTCAAGCTCTTGGCCCATACCTGTCACATACTAGTGAAATCCTAACTTTGAGATCTGGTTGGTTATTTCATCTATTTGTATATTTTTAAATGGTGTTTTGAACATCTCCAGGGCTAACCAGTCAGTGTGTTTCTTCAGCTGATTTTTCTCATTTTCTTCTTTGATCTGCATCAGGGCTGTTAGGGATGGATTCAGGAAGCGTCTTTCATTTACCACACACGATTGAAAGATCGTAGGGAACAACCCTTTTGTTAGGGGCTCCTCCAAGGAGACCACAGAAGGTACAGGGGATGGATTTTCTCCTGATGTGCAGCTAGGGCCCTTCTGTTCACATGGATACACAGCACCGTGGTCTCCACTTCATGAAGGAACAAGTAGTAAAACAGAGTTTAAAAAAGGACTTTGTCTCTTACACAGTTTCAAATAGCCATCTAGTAAGCCAGCTTCACTGTGAAGTGATGTTTGACAAAATAGCTGTCATAATTAAAATCTTTTTAATGGATAATAAATAATTTGTTTTGCTGCAGTTTTCACTGGTTTTATTTTACAGAATAGCTGAAACCTTTGGATTTCAAGAAAATTATATCAAAATTGTCATAAATAAGAAACAGCTTCAACTAGGTATGTGATGGCAAAGTATGTAGAATTTTTCAATCAAGCTAATATAGAAATAATGACTTCCCTCTTTTTTCTCACTATTCAGAAATTTCTGTCTTTGTTACATTTATAATCCAAAACCAATTATTTAGAAGTTTATTAAAATAAAAAACGTGAAACAGAAAACAGCTTTTCTAAGAAATGTTTGCTCAGTGCTAGTGGGGAAGACAGACACTTGTTACATGTCAGGTAAAATGTTGCATAGCGGAAGTCTGGGTGTGTTGAGAGTAAGTTCTCTCTGAGGGAAAAGAAGTGAAGTGAGTGCGGACAGTGGGAAGGCAGTCGTGGGGACTGTCCCATACTGAGAGCGCCTTGTGTTGGAGCACTATGATGTGAATTTGAGGAGCCGAAAAAGGTACAGTATGGCTGAGTTTAGGAAGTGAGGGGAGCGCTTTTTGGTTTTGTTTTTTCTTTGATTTCTTTTTTTTTTTTTTTGAGGGGAGCACTTTTTAAGGATAGAGGGCCAGGCAGAGGCCACACACTACAAAGATTATAACTGGTTCTCAGCCAGAGGTGATTTTGCCACCCAGGGGACATTTGGCATTATCTGGAGACATTTTGGTTGTTGTAACTTGGTGGGGGTATAATAGTTATCCAAGCAAATTTAAGCATATTCTTACCAATTATGGGCATCGTGGTTTGCAAATGTTAACACAGGTTTAAGAGTTCCATTTACAGTTTTTTTTTGGTGGTGGGCTGGTACAGGGATTGAACCCTGGACCTTTGTGTTATCAGTACCACACTCCAACCAACTGAGCTAACTGGCCAGCCCCTGCCAGGCACAAAACTCATTTAACGAAGAAATGGACTATTACCAGGTAAATCAGTGATTCTTATAATGTGCAGTTCTGATTTTTACAGGGGAAACCCTTGAAGAACAAGGAGTGACTCACAATGTAAAAGCGATGGTGCTGGAACTAAAGCAGTCTGAAGAGGATGCGAGGAAGAAATTCCAGGTGGAGGAAGAGGAGCACAATGAGGCTGAACTAAAGGAAAAACGAATTCAGAGGACTAAGAGAGGACTAGAGATACTGGCAGAGAGAGGTACACAGAGCTGCGGGCTTGTCTCCTCACTCGAACACTTAAACATGGCAGTGAATTGCACAAATGGGGGCTTTCACGTCTCTCATTGAGCTTTTCCCCCAATAGTCTAACTTCCTTTTTTTTAGAAACTGGCTGCTAACATTTTTAATGTTGTCACTGCTTTTTAACATTGAATTAATGGAGTTCCTTTTGATTTTGTTGCAGCTGAGATGGTGGTGGATCCAGAAACTACACCATACTTAGACATAGCTAACCAGACAGGCAGATCAATCAGAATTCCCCCATCAGAAAGAAAAGTAAGTTTTATAAGGCATCTGTGGCCCTTTCTTGGATTTGTTGTCAGAACATAGGTGGTTTTCTAATTATTTTGTCTTGGGATGTTATAAAGGATTAGAAACCTATCTGTCTCCAGCCTTATCGACAGGATCTATAACCAGGTGATGAGTAGCTGCATGCTTACCACAGGGCGGGTCTCACCCTGTGACTTGCAGTGCAGCAGTATAAGGTGGCATGGCCCTTCTCTCCTGTGGCAATGACTTTACACATGCCACCTTAACTGTTAGTGGCTTCCTGTTCCTGTGGCAGTGGGTTTTGTTTGGTTTATTTTATTAGAGGGCCGTGTCCCCTAAAGGGTGGATCAGAATAGGTGGCAGGGGGAACTGTGTAGTTTGAGAAGAGTCTTCAGGTGACTCCAACAGCTGTCCCCTGTCTGCTTCTACCCCCTTTCCCTGTTCTGTAAAGGGGAGTGTGTGTGTTGGGGAGGGTGTTGTCTTGGAACACATCCAAGGGGTCTTTTTTTTTTTTTTAAAGATGACCGGTAAGGGGATCTCAACCGTTGACTTGGTGTTGTTAACACCACACTCTCCCAAGTGAGCCACAGGCTGGCCCTCCGAGAGGTCCTCATAGCCTCATTTTACAACTTGGACCCTGAGATCAGTCTCTGAGATATGGTCCAGTAGCTGCTGCTTCTTATGAAGATCTCTAAACTATGGGTCAAGTTAATTTTAATTTTTCTGTCTCCAAAGGACAATTTTGAGGGGTTTCACTGTGTGAATTATTCCATTTTAAATTAAGGATTGAAGTTAAGTTTTAGGGCCGGCCCGTGGCTCACTCGGGAGAGTGTGTTGCTGATAACACCAAGGCCACGAGTTTGGATCCTATATAGGGATGGCCGGTTCACTCACTGGCTGAGCGTGGTGCTGACAACACCAATCCAAGAGTTGAGATCCCCTTACCGGTCATCTTTAAAAAAAAAAAAAAAAAAATTTTAATAAGAGAACTTTGTGGATTGATGTTTGAGCTATCAGTGTATTGATGTTTGTTTCTTTAGACGTGTTGGTGATTATTTGCCCACCAGTCACTTACATTAAATGCTGACATCAAGATCTTTTCGGAAAACCTTTACAAGACTGAATTATGTAAAAATTAAAATCTAAAAAAATTAATGAACTTCAGAAAACTTTCGATCACCTTTATAAAATTGTTTTGGGAAAAAAAATTGTTTTGGAAATACTAGAATTAGAAAAACCTTGATGTCGGCCGGCCCGTGGCTCACTCGGGAGAGTGCGGTGCTGATAACACCAAGGCCCCGGGTTCGGATCCCATATAGGGATGGCCGGTTCGCTCACTGGCTGAGCGTGGTGCTGACAACACCAAGTCAAGGGTTAAGATCCCCTTACCAGTCATCTTTTTAAAAAAAAAAAAAAAGAAAAAGAAAAACCTTGATGTAAATTAAGAAAAGTGAAACAAATGCTCTTTTTAAAAAGGATACAAGCATTACAGCTGCTTTTTTATATATTTAGTTTTATAGAATACTAGAAATAGATCTAGATGAGCAGATACTAAAACAAACCAATGAAAACAAAGGGGCAGGTGTTGGTTATGACCATATCAGCCACAGTAAATTGAGTGCTTGGTTTCAGTGTTTAAATGAATAAACCTTTAATTATATTTTTCTTACTTTGGGCTTTTAGATTGAGTTGTGATCTTATTTATTTATTTATTTTTTTACTTTATCATTATTATTATTTTTAGAATTAATATGCTTTTAACAATGTGGTTTTCTATATTTTAAAGTGATGTTTTTTTTTAAATCCTAAATCCATATTTTTTCCTAGGCCCTTATGTTAGCGATGGGATATCATGAGAAGGGCAGAGCTTTCCTGAAAAGAAAAGAATATGGACTAGCCTTGCCATGTCTGTTGGATGCTGACAAGTATTTCTGGTAGGCACTTTTGTACTTGGTGAATGCCAGGTTTAAGGAAGATACCCCCAGTTATACAGAGCACCCTCCCAACCCCTACACTTCAGACTTCAAATTTCCCTTTAGACAGTGGTTCATGTAATAGAGTAGTTATGGTGTAGACCAATTTGTGAATTATTTCTCTTCCCTTTGTATGACCCTCTCTTCCCTGTAAAGAGTTTTGTAAACATACTCATTAATTTTTTTTTATAACAAACATATAGGATTTCATCTTTTTTCTTCCTTTTTTTGGTGACGTGTTGCCAACCTGAACTATCTGTTATAAGTTCCCCATCAGATTTTCACCTGATGGTTTTGGTGTAGACATTGGTGATAATTCTCCAAATCCATCGTTTCATCGGGGCCTGCAAAATGGTGATACCCTATTCCTCCTGCATTTATTGCTGGACTTCTTCTGAAAAGAAATATTTTTTCTCATCAGCTATTTGGTTATGCTGAGGTACAATTTATACAGGAAAGACAAAATACTTGGTATCTTTCTCCTTATATTCTTATTTTCAGAATAAATGAGTTGCTTCTCTAGCTTCCCCCCGAGGTAACCAATGAGGTTTTCTTTTTCTTTTTTTTTTTTTTGAGTATCAGGGTTAACTCATGGATTTTGACACATTGATATGTTTCAAGTTTCAGTGCTTAAATTGGCCATTTTGGCTGGCAGGTGGTGCCTGCGTCTGTTTGACGTGATCCTGGTGGTCTTTGTAGTCTCTGATCTCTGGAGCCCAAAGATATTCCAGGCTCATCTTAGACATTTCAGATTGCAGATCAGGAATCAGCAGTTCTCCAAAGGATTCCCTATTCTTCTTAATGGGAAATGGTACTTAGAGACTATAATCCAGGCGTATTAAACATTTGAAATTAGACTTGGTATTTGAAAATGGTCAAAAGTTAACAACTTTAGTGTTGACTCCTTTTCCATTTTGGTGAATTTTGTGTACTCTTCAAGAAGATGAATTAATGCTGGCGAACTTACAAGCATACTTTTTGTGTGATTTCCCCCTCTTCGTGAAGGCAGTCAGCTCTGAAGCAAGCCAGTAGTGCAGGTGGAGGAAACTTCAACGGTTCCATTTCCTTTCCCACTTGATTTTTTTTCTCTACCTTCTCCAATAAGCTAGAAGTTCTGTCACAACTTTCTACTCTACATCTTGGGGTATGGTATGTAAGTATGATGAGAATAGTTTCTTTCCCTATTTAAAACTAAAAGGGGGAGTTCTGCTTTTAGCCAAGATGGGTAACAGGGGCTGGATTTACCCCTCACCAGAAGTGGCTAAAAACCAGGCAAAATGTGTGAAACAGTGACTTCCCTGCACTGCAGGACAGTGACTCTGAGGTGGGCAAACAGATGAGAAGAGCCCTGTGATTGTTTGAACCTACTGCCTGGAGAGAGTTGCAGGCTACAGTGTAGAGAAGGCAAACCCAGGCACAGCTTCATTCTTCCCCAGTTGAGAAGGAACTAGAAGTTTGGGAGACTGAGGAGATGAGAGGAGAGCTGCCCCAGAGAGCATGTCGGAGAGGTTCAGAGGGTCCCCTTTGCGTCTTCTGCCGAGTGATTATCACCATGTGCATGTGAAACTACCCAAGGCTGGGCAAGGTGCCACCTGGAAGAAGCAGAGAGAACAATCTTCAGAGTTCACAGAGGGCCAGGAATGGTTTATGTTCCCACCAGCCAGAGTGGAGAACTTTGTAATCACAGGGCATCAGATAGAGTGTTCAGAAAGGTATTGCTTCAGTGCTAGGGCAAAATTAGCCCTAACAGCTGCACTGATCCCACCCAAAAAAGCTTAAAAGCTAGCCTTGAACAGTAGCATTAAGTTATATTTTTTAAGTAAAGTCATGTGTTAAGGATATCCCTAATAAAGCTCAATAATTCAGCAATACAGAAATATCTACCATCCAATTAAAAATTAGCAGGCAGGCAAAGAAACTAGAAAATACAACCCATAATGAGAAAAATTGATCAATACAAACAGATCCAGAAGTGACATAGAAGCTAGAATTAGTAGACAAGGGCAAAATGGTGACTATGTTAACGAGAAGGTAGAGGAGGCATTGAATGTGTCAGAGGAAAACGTGGGAGATACACAGAAGACCTACACTGGAATTTGAGAGATGAAAAGTACATTGGGTGGCATTAGCTGCAGAAAATAGACACTGCAGAAGAAAAGATTAGTAAATGTGAAGACAAGGCAATAAAAACTATCCAACCTGAAACAGAAAAACAGCTGGAAAACTAACGAACAGTGTCAGCAGGCCGTGGAACGACGGCAGGCAGTCTGATAGATGTATGTTGGAGCCCTTGAAAGGCAGGCAGGCGACACAGAAGACGTTTGAAGAAATAATGTCCCAAATGCTTTCCAGTTTGACAAAAACTATAAACTCTCAGATACAAGAAACTTAATGAACCCCAAGTACAAGAAATATGAAAGAAACAACCAAAAAACCTACAACCAAGGCACAGTATAATCCAGTTCCTTAAAACTAGTGAAAATGGCTTTTTAGCCAACCTTTCTTGAAAAAAGATACTTAAGCTTAGCTTATTACCCTTTTTGAAATTAATCTTTGTTCATTTTACATAAACATTTTAAACTTGTAAGATAAACCATAAATTTCTGTTAAATAGCCAACTTAAGCCCAAATGGGATTTAATTTTTCTAAAGCTAGGCTCAGTAGGTTTTATTTAAATAAATGTTGTACACTTAAATTAATTAAATTTTAAAATTAATGTTGTATTTTAACGTTGTTTTCAACATGAAATTGTATTGACAGTATTGAATATTAAAGCTACTAAGACTATAAACTAAACAAGGCAATACTAATAAAACAGTATGTACTCTAAAACACAATTTTATACCCGGCTTTAGAAAATCAGTTTTTTTATCCCCAAGTGACATGATCATGTTCAAATATAGGACTAGCAGTTTCAAAATTATTACATGTAGGTGTAGATTTCTTGAAATTAAAGAATGAACTGTGCCTCTCTAAAATGAGTCCTGTGCTTTGTGTTGTTTTTTTTATTTTCCTGCACACACAATTCTGGGTCAAGCTTCATATAAGCACATGTTGACTTTATTTTTAATTGAAATGAGGCCGTTGCTTTCCTATGAATGGCAGGATAACTTTCTGCCACAGAAACCAGAACGTATGTAGAGGCAGATCAGGAAATCTCACCTTGCGTGTAAGATTAGACCCTAGTCCACAGAGTTCATTCTTTTCTCTCAAAGTGAAGTTCTCAGACTGAGCAGAAGATTTGGAGAAAGTGCCCTTCTCCCAGTCCTACACCTAAGTTGTGTGCACATGTGTGTAAAATATGGTGTATAAGTTATCTAATATTCACAAAGAATAGTAATGTTGAAGGGACAACAGACAAATGTAAAAGTCCTGCTCTGACACATTTTTCTTGCCCCGCCTCCTCCCCCCATGGTCTGTACAGGCCCTCCCCTTGGGAGACCACCATTTAAAGGGTAAATGACAAAATCAGATTCCTTTTAGTTTTTCTTTTTTTCCAAGCATATTTTGATAGGCAAGACAGGAAGCTTGAGGGCATGTGGATTTTGTAGTTTTATGCAATAAGAGCAGTCTTATTTTTAGTAGAATCCTAATAAAAACAAGTATATAAAACCTTTAAAGTTTGTTAATGTGTAATGCATGGTTCCATATGTTCTCCTTTCTTTTTGAAGACTTGAGATCCAGATTTGCATTGTGAATTTTTAACCTAATCACAACTTAAAATCAAAATAAATCATTTTAGTGGCTGTTTTTGTCAGGATATCGCCTGGACCACGCTGACTTGTTTATTATCTTTCTTGCTTTCTCTGCATCTGGCTTTAGCCCACTGCCACAGCTACAGAGTAGCCTTTAGTTAGCACGTGGGCCCTGGGCCCTCCTGAAATCAGCTAGGCATTTAAAGCCTTGCTTTTTCTGGATTGTTTTTCCTCCCAGCTTGAATGTCATTGAACGTGAATGCCCTTTTCGAGACTTCATCAGTTGAGGCTTTTGTAGTAAGCAGTGATTTTTTTGGTATGCCTCTAAAGCAGTGGTTCTCAACTTTGGATATACATTAGAATCACCTAGAGAGATCTTAGAAATACAACGTCCAGGCCCCACCCCCAGAGGTTTCTGTTATAATTGGTCTAGGTGGGGTCGCAGCATCAGCATTTCTCAAAAAATAGAAATTTCTTAACATCGGGGTGATCCTAATTTGCAATCAGGTCTGGGTACCACTGCTTTAAAGCATGGTCTCCGCATGTTTGCTGAGGGGTTCTCACACAGTGGCCTTGGGTTCTACTTCCTTACAGGCCTCTTGCCCAACATAGCAAGGGCATGTGTTTGTATGGGTGTGTGTCCTTGTGCAGCTGGTGTTAAGCTGCTATTCCTGAGCCTTAATTTCTTTTTACCTCCATTGGAAGGATTCAGATTATAAATATAACTCCCTTAAACATTGGGATCTCTTTTAGAGCAGTCAGTCTTCGAAAATACACCAGGAACTGGGAAAGAATTCCAGTAATTCACAAAAAGGTTTCTAATGCGACTTGTCAGTGATGTCGTTTCCTTTCTTTTCCCAGTGAGTGCTGCAGAGAGCTGCTGGACACAGTGGATAACTACGCCGTGCTCCAGCTAGATATAGTGTGGTGTTACTTCCGCTTAGAGCAACTGGAATGCCTTGACGATGCAGAAAAAAAATTAAACTTGGCCCAGAAATGCTTTAAAAATTGTTATGGAGAAAATCATCAGAGACTGGTTCACATAAAAGTATGGTATTTCTGTAATTTGTCTTATGTACTGTTGAGCCCATTTCTAGAATTTGTGTTTATTCTTGTAGTATTTACACTGCCAAAAGGTGATTTTATTTTGATGATAGTGTGCAATATGTTCTTTTGAAGCTATATTTTTTTTTTTCCCTTTTTGTCTTTTTTCGTGACCGGCAACGGATCGCAACCCTCAGTGTCGCGCCCGTACCGGGACCGGGACCGGCAACGGGATCGCAACCCTCGGTGTTGCGCCCGCACCTCGCTCAGCCAGTGAGCCGCCGGTCTGTATGTGGGATCTGAACCCTCGGCGGGAGCGCCGCTGTGCTCCCAAGCGGCGCACTGTAGCAGTGCGCCACCGGGCCGGCCCTGAAGCTATATTTTTATAAAGTATTAAATGTTTTACAAACCTGGCTGTTTCTCTGGTGTGTGCATTTGGCCCAGAGGAACACAGTTTTCTGTTCATAGAACCTCAGTGTTGATCATCTGAGCAGGAGAGACCTGGTGGCTTCTCTTTGGTCAGTAGAGTCTGCTGTAAGATGTAAGTGCAGAGAATAGACATTTGAACAGGAACATTTTGCTTGAATGAGTCACAGCACAAGAGCTGTGATTTGAGTAAGGATTTTAGTATGATCTCAACAAGTCATCAAAATTCTGCCCATGCAGAATATCTTTTGCCTGGTTTGGGTTTTTGCCTACTTCCGTACTGACCAGAAGGGCCACTGTCCTGGATGTCTGGAGACAGGGGCTCTGATGCCATTTCCTCCTGTGTGGCACAGGGATAGATATCATTGTGCTTGGGGACTTCATTTTTGCCATCAGCCACAGTGAAGCTAGTGACATTTTAGTACCACCATTTTGCCCCTATGGAGACAAAAGGAATTACAGATGTGAGTATTATAGACCTGTAATTAGAAATAAGACAATTTTCTCCTTTCCCCCACAATAATTTTAGGGAAATTGTGGGAAAGAGAAGGTATTGTTTTTAAGACTCTACCTGCTTCAAGGTATCCGAAACTATCACAGTGGAAATGGTGAAGAGGCTTGTGAGTATCTCAACAAGGTAAGAAAACTCTTAACACTGTAGCCATTTTCACCTTTTTTTTTTTTTAATCCCCAGAAGTTAATAGTTTGTGACTTGTGAGAAAAATGCCCCTCTCTCCTGTTCGCTCTCCCTCACAGATACCAGAAACATCTTTGTGTTTGTTAGGGTACAGGCAAGAGGCTATAATCAGGAAACTTCAAGAAGACAATGACTTTAGTTGGCTAGAAGTGTGCATCTTACTCGTCTAGCAGTCTGGGTGTGTGCAGCGCAGGCAGCAGCTGCACAAGCCTTGGCCCCAGGTCGCTGCCGTCAGTGCCTCTCCCATGGCAGAGGGGGCAAGAGAGAGTCTAGGGCAAGCCTCTTCAGAATGACCCAGACGCTGTGGCCATTGTTCAGGTCACATGCCGTCGGCCCAGACTTAACCACCTGCTACACCTAGCTTTCAGGGGGGTGAGAAATGCCACGTGCACAACTGTATTTCAGAGTTTTTTTACTGCAGAAAGATGGGAATAGTGGACACTAGTCCCTTGCACAACACCCAGCCTATTCGCCCATGTTATCTGATGGATGAGTTATGTGAGCAGAGATAGCGTTGTCTGTTTCCATTCATACGAGCTGATAATAAGTCAGATTTAGAGCTTTTATCTAAAATCTGACACAGCATATTTCACGTTGGGTACGATCTAACTTCTTTTAGGCTTTAGCTTTGTGTTAAGCTTTAACATTGCTATAGTTATATGATTCTTTACATTTCTCCCTGTCTGTAGGCACGTCAGCTTTTTAAAGAGCTATATATTGACCCAGCAAAAGTTCACAATCTGATGCAGTTGGGATTTACTGCCCAGGAAGCCCGACTTGGCCTAAGGGCGTGTGATGGGAATGTGGATCACGCGGCCACTCATCTCACCAACCGCAAAGAGGTACCCTCTCCCCTGCTGTCCCCAGGCTTGACTGATGCCTGTGCCTTTGAGTAGGTTGTGAAACTTGAGGCAGTGGCAAGCTTGTTTCCAAAATGCCTTAGTTCTCTTGGGTATGAAAGAACAAAAAAGATAATCCCATAGGAGATATTAATAACAAGGAACTCTCTATCGGTCCAGATTGGGAAGGAAGGAGGAACTCGTCTTTTTTAATTACGTCAATTTTCAGATGGTGCAGTTTCCTTAGTTTTATTTACTGCTGTGGTTGCAGGTTAAACAAGCGATCTTCTCTCTTTTTTAACATCATAGTGTATTTCTGGAAGCCATTTTAAAGGGGGTGTTTTTCCATGGGTGGGGCTATTATAGTTTGGGATTGCATTCTTGCCTAGAAACATAAACCAGCTCATAGAAACAGTAGTGTTATTGTGAAAGCACAGGTAAAAAACTACAATCATTTAAAACAATTAGTACATTAAAGAAAAGTTTAGAACTTTGGAATTAGAAGGAACCTTATCATATCCAATATGCTGGTTTTACAGTAAAGGAATTGAGGTGCAGAGAGAGTTAATGAGGGAATATTAGCAGTAGAACCATTTTTCTTCTCTCCAAAGCAAGAAGTTGGCACTAGATTATCTCACAGGTCCTTCCTAGCTGTAAGCTGCAACCATAGAAATCTCTACCATCTTTTCATGTGTGCATTCTCTTGTTTCCCTTTTTGCTAAATACCATGGTAATCCGGAAGAAAAAAAAACAGAGCATGAGGAGGGGGTATTTGGAAGGGGGCAGGAAAGCCAAGTGGTCATTTGCCTGCCTGGTGCTGAGGTGGGAGTGGATTCATGGGTTGATTATGTGGTAACCAGTCAAAAGGGCTGTTTAGGTTCTCCTTTTCCATCACTAGCCATGCTAGTTACCTTTCTCCCCCCGTCTGCCCTTGTCTGCTCTCCTAATTACGTTCCATTGGGTCCTGCGATAGAAGTTGGTGAGCATGAAAAGGCCAAGACTTTGGAAAGCTAAGTTCTATGTGTTTGCATTTTGTGTAGTCTAATTCAGTACTAACAGAAAAGCAAACATTGCTAATACAGCATTTATTACTTTACTAACAAGTAATTGTCCATAAGATTTCACTAGCATTTGGAAAGCCTATGTTTTAACGTGAGATAGTTTGAAAAATAATTTTCAGCATTGTATACTACTTTATAGTTTATGAAACAGTCTAACAGTCATGATGTCATTCAGCTCTGCCTGTGACCACCTGTGAAGCCACAAGGACAGATAACTCTCATTTTATAAATGAGGAAAACTGTGGCTCGGAGACTGACTTTTAAAGTATAGGGGAGTCATATTGTGCACATTTCTGAATTTAGTGATAAGCTGTTGAAGAAAATGCAGGTGAGAAGCAGCAGTGTGCGTTGTGCGGTTGATCCTGCTGACTCTTCCACCTGTGGACATGCATCAGTTAGGATGCCGTTGGTTGAAAGCGACAAAAAAAAAAAAAAATTTAGATTCACCTAAACAACAAAAAAAGGCAAGTTGTGGGACTTATTGGCCAATTTACTGTAAAAAGTCCACCAGTGGACTGGGTCTTAGGGTAAGTTGATTCAGTGGCCTGCCCATGTCACTGAGGACCTGGTGTCTGTCTTTCTGCCTCCCCTGTCATCAGTGTCATCTGATCACACCAGGAGTGATGTGTCCCAAAATCTTCAGTGAAAGTCCTGAGCCTCTCACTGATTGGCCACCCCTGAACCAATCATTAAGGCCAGGGGAATGCCAAGACCTGATTCGCTTAGACCTGTGGCCAGAGATGCAGGTTACCATGTTAGCTTAGACCACTCAGGGCCTATGTGGGGGGCTGGGCCCTGTGCCTTGGGGGTGGGTAGAATAGATGTTGGGGAGACAAATGCAACGTCCCACAGAACATGAGCTCCCATGGGAGATACAGCATAGGAATCCACTGCCCTCCTAGTTCCTCAGTGTCGAGTTGGAGTGTCTCTCTGCCCTGACTGCCGTATATACAAGTCTGTATGTTTTGTACAACATGGCCCTGAGTACAGGCCAGTTTCTCACCTGGCAGAAGAAACTGGGACCGTAGAAAGTGAGATCACTTACAGTGCTGCAGTAGGAGGAGGCCTCGAGTGCCACTTGGCAGCCTTCCTAGGAGGCTTCAACAGCTCATTTCCACCATATGGAGCCTTCAGCCCTGACTGTAAAACCCACTTCTCACTTAAGATTTGATTCCACTGTTTTCATAAAATATTTCAGTGCAATACTCATTGTCATTTATTTGGTCTATATTATCTTTCTAACTCTCTCTACTTAAAGAGAACTGAGAAAATAATTTTCTCATGTGTCTACATGATTAAAAGAAATCTAACTGAGACATTTGTAACTATCTTTTTCTTTTTTTTTTCGTGGCCGGCTAGTACAGGGATTGAACCCTGGACTTTGTTATCAGCACTGCTAACCAACTGAGCTAACCAGCCAGCAGTTAAAAAAAAAAAAGTATTCTTTGAGGCTCTAGCTGGTGTCAGATCTGTGTTAGGTAACACCTGGATCCTTGTTGCTGGCTGGCATTGTCTTTCTCTATGCTTGAATGTTATGCATATTTCTTAGCCTTTTGAAATATAAATGGAAGAAGCTGTAATTGAAAGCAGAGGATGGGGTCCAGAAAAGGCATTTTACGTGGGGTATATGAGTGCATAAAAGTTGAAATGTGAGTGATGTGGGATAATTTTGCTGGCAGGCCTGATCGATACCATGTAGCAGGGTAAGGACAGGTTGGAAGCCTTGGTGGGGCCCAGGGAACTGGAGCCCTGGATGTTAGAATAAGAAACTGGAGCCCATTGGGAAGGCAATGGGGGCTGCTGCATTCTTGTGAGCAAGCGGGTGAGATGATGCAGCTCACTGTGCTGTGCAGGAGCAGGAGGGGTTGGAGCTGGGGAGAGTGGCCACCAAGAGGCAGATAGAGGACATCCGAGGCGAAGGGAGTCGGTGCCATGCTTTCTCCAGGGAGCTCACCAGTAGGTCTCCGACATTAGAAACAGGAAGTTAGTCTGAGGATGCTTCATCCCGGCAGTGGTTTCGGCAGCCACTCCGTCCTGCCTCGTCTTCCCGCTGACCCCGTGGGAATCTTTGGCTCCACACCCATGTTTCCTTTCTTTTCCCAAGAATGAGGCCACTTTCTCACTGTAGGGAGAAGATAGAGGGCACTTGCTGCTTGGCTGAGCCGGGGGCAGGAATAGGTCTCTTGGAGGAGAAGCGACTGTGTTCTTCCTTGTGTTCATTGCTGCTGACCTCGGGGCTGTCTCTGGGAGAATATGCTGATCACTTAATTTTCTTGAAATGTCCCTCTCTCCTTATTGGCAATCAAACTTGTTTTTTTTTTTAAGCAGCAAAATTCCTTTTTTTAAATGACATTTTTATGACGTAACAGCTTACAAAACCAATTTAGAACTCTCCTGATTGGGGCTGGGTGGGAGAGGGGAAAAGACTAGAACCCTCCACAGCCACCTCAGGCTCTAGCAGCAGCACTTCACACCTCTGAGAAACAGGGTTGAGGACCTTTGTCTCCTTGAGCATTCTGTAGGTTCAGAATGGATAAAGAGACCGTAGAATGTACCAAAGTCCTTGCTACCCAGAGGGTGGTGGGTGGGCCAGAAGCACTGGCATCACCAGGAGCCACACCCACCCCTTGCTGGTTCAGAATCCACATTTTAACGTGAATCCCTGGGCAATCATCAAAGGCTGAGAAGTCCCCGCTCCCAGTGCAGGAAACTCCTGCCCTCTCCCTAGCAGGAGGTCCGCCCACCTCTCTGGTTGCTCGCAGCCTGCTGTGATGCCAGATGACGGGGCTTTTGAGGCACCTCCCTCCTGCCTGGGCAGAGGTCTCCACTCTACTGCTCTGCCCTCAGGAGCCCGCCATGGTGCTCTGCCCTCACAGCTCTCCTGCCCTCTGACTGGGCTGGGATAGGAAGAGAGAGTTCCCCCTCTTCTCTTGTTATTTTGCTTTGCCTGGCCACCTCAAGAATCCCCCAGAGCATAGATGGACAAGGCTTCCTGGGTAATCTCAATCCCTAACTCAGTGGGACTTTGCCCTTTTCCTAAAGGAACTGGACCAAATAAAGAAAGAGGAAAAAGAAAAGAAAAGACGCCACCTGGACAGCATAAACTCTCTGAAAGGGATGGGCTACTCCGTGCATGCAGCCAAACAGGCCCTGCATCAGGCCAGCGGGAACCTGGATGAAGCACTGAAGGTAAGGGCTGTGGCCTGTCCCCCAGCAGCAGGCCCGCTGCTTCCACAGCTCTCCAGCATCCTCCGCGATTCATGGAGCCCACACCTGTGGACCTCCTCCTAATTCCTGGTTTGGATCTGAGGGTCAGCACTCTCCTGTTCTCCAGCCCAGGGACAGAGCCAGGAAGATGGGCCTCATGCTTGGTATTTGGCCCAGGCCTCCTGGCTCAGGGAGATGGTGCTTGCCCACACTGGCAAGAGTCCACAGGCCAGGACTTGGTGCACGGTTTTCGTTTGCAGCAGAAATTGTTTAATGTAAACAGGAGTAATTTCCAAAGTGGAGAGAATGGTAATTAAAGTTTTAGCATGACTTTATGGAACTAAATTTTTTTATTTCAATATCTAGTTTTAATTATTTAGTCCATACTGCATCCTCAACAGTGACAGACAGGTTGAGATCCAGACCAGTCGCACCTTTCCCTTTCCCATCTTTGGTCATGAAGCAGATTGAATCCTTAGTAGGGGCAGGTGCTGTGCTATGCCCCAGCAGCTTGACCAGGGAGATGCCTTCTGCCCTTGGGAGCCCACAGGTCAGTGGTGGACAGGCACAGAGTTAGAGCCCTTGGGGTGAGTCTACCAAGAGGTTACCTGGGGGTGGCAACCTGCAGCTGGTCACACCAGGAGGGGTGGCTCTCTGGGCAGTTGCAGGGTCAGCGGTGGGGTTGGAGGCCTGGGCCAGTGGCGCCCCCAGGAGGTGTTGGGCTGCTGTAGCTCAGGTCATGTGCTTGCTGGAGGCAGGGCTCATGGGGTTGGGGGCTGTGGCTAGAGACAGGGCTAGATAAGTAGGCAGGAGTTCCCACCGGGCATTGCAGGCAGTGGGGGCCTGCCCTGCCTTTGCCTGTATCCCTGTCCCACTCCTCAGAGGGTCCCCCCAGGTCAGTATTTTTGTTAATATGTATAGATATATTTCTCGAATTAAAAAATGTTATTTGATTAGTTTGATTTTTTGTGTTGGAGAAATACAAAAGGGACAGGAAATTCTGAATATCTGAAGGGATGGATGGGGCTCAAAAATAATAGCTTTTAATTATACAAGTAGTGCATAAATACATTCAGCCAGCGTACAGGTATTTGGTGGTAGAAGGTGACTTCCCCAAAAGGTTGTTAACATTAAGAGTAAGTGTTGTGAGATGAAGAAATCGAGGGTCAAAAGAAGACTACTGCCTGCCTGACATTTTCAGTCTGGGGACATGACACCATCAAAAGACAGATTGGGCAGCCCTGAGCTGCCTGAGAAACCTTTGTGTATGGCTCTGCGTGGCCTCGAGCTCCAAGGGCTTTCTTGTTTGTTTCTTGTGGTACTCCTTCGCAGCCCTCCCTGCCTGCTCAGGAGGAGGGATCTCTTTGCCTGGCTGGTCTTGCTCCACCTTCAAGCCTCACCTGATGTGACCTTTGGCCAGAAGCCTTCCATGTGTGCCAGCCTGGGTTGGGCCCTTTCTCTGCCTCGTGGCACCCTTTGCACGGCCCCACCACAGTGTCCCGCACTTGTGTATGGTCCTGCAAGTAGCAGAGCTCGGGGCTGTGTCTGCCTAGCACATGATGGGTGCTGCCTCTGTTTGCACGTGACCAGCTGTTAGTGGAGAGTAAAGGGTGTTCCTCTGTGTTTTCAGATTCTCCTCAGTAATCCTCACATGTGGTGGTTAAATGATTTAGATCCAGAAACCAACAACCATGGAGAAAGTCCTTCCCAGGAAAACATTGACCAAGTGAGTGACATGCCTTCGTGCCCTCTCCACTCCCCAGCCTTGAATGGGGTTGGTTGGAGTGCCCAGGGTTATGGCAGGACAGGGTGAGTCTGGGCTGAAGCTTAGCTCCAGGTGTGACCTGCCCGCCCCACGTGAGGAGGCCCAGCCAGGGCTGGGAGGAGTGGAGCAGGAGGTGTCTCCTTAGAGCAAGAAAGATAGGAAGCCTTGGGAAGTTGTTCTTTCTATAAGTTTGCTGCCTCTTTTTTCTATGTACTGCTGCTTACATCAGCCCCATTTCTCTGCCTGTGACATAGAAGGACTTCCCTCTGTCCTTTGAGACCCATCCAGCTTTGTGTCCCAAGCAACCACTCGTTTGTGTCTGCCTGTCCCCCCCCGCCCCCCATGTTAGTGTGCCTACTGCATGTGGCTGCTTAACTGATGGTGTCCTGATTGGGTGTGTATGCCACTTTGCCGTCAGCTCCCAAGCTTGCTACTTGTCCTGAGATGACACTGACCTGTCTGACTCACGTCTTCTGAGATCCTTTCCAGATGGCTTCACACTCAGCTGTGGTGCTAAAGAGTGACTTGTGCAGAAAGGGAGTGGTGTGCGTCTCATGAGTCTAAAAACGAGACAAGGCTGTCCTAGCTGTGCCCATGTGGATGACAGGAGTGCTGGGCGTGGGGCTGGAGGTCAATGTCTGCACCATAGGCTGAGCTTTGGCGTCACCGCCGTCACCTTCCTATGTTCTCCTCTAGCTGGTGTACATGGGTTTTGACGCAGTAGTGGCCGAAGCTGCGCTGCGAGTGTTCAGGGGCAACGTGCAGCTGGCAGCTCAGACGCTGGCTCACAGCGGAGGAAGCCTGCCCCCCGACCTGCAGCTCTCAGTGGAGGACTCTTCATCAACACCGTCCACGTCCCCTTCAGACTCCGCAGGTAGGTCTGAGGTCTCTGAAGACCACGTTGAGAGCCAAGTGTTCTGCAAAGTCAGGAGCTGACAAGATCAGGCATGTGCCTTTGGCCAAGGCAGATGTGGAGACTGAGAAGGGCGTTCCCTGATGTCACTGTGCAGGCTGCTTAGACAGTGTGGCCACAAGAGGCACAGTCTGAACTTGACTTTGATCGTACAATCATGCCAAGGATTGTTCTCCTTACATAACTCACCTATTACTATGATGTTTTATTGTAGGAACCTCCAGTGCCTCCACAGATGAAGACATGGAGACAGAGGCTGTCAATGAAATACTGGAAGACATTCCAGAACATGAGGAAGATTATCTTGATTCAACTCTGGAAGATGAAGAAATTATTATTGCAGAGTACTTATCCTATGTAGAAAGTATAAAGTCAGCAACAAAGAAAAACTAAATGATGGCGAGAAATAAGTACTGAGTTTCTGCTTATAAATTCTATCTCTATGAAAAGTCTAATGCAGCTCCTTTTGTCCTTTTTGTCTGATTTTGCTCCAAGAGTTCTTCCTCCGCAGGCTGTGGGGGCAGACAGGTGTAGAAGGTGGAGAGGAGACTTGTTGGGCTGGGAGGGGGTCCTGGTCCTTTGCAGGTGGCCTGGGGAGGGAGGTTCTTCTGGCCTGGCTGCCCCCTGCTTAGCTTCTCATCCAGAAATGGGAAGGCGGCTTGCTGCTGGGGCATGGGGTGTACCCAGGGAAGGGAAGGGAGAGGAAGGAGGGTGCCAGACCCATCTCCTCTGCATCCCGCGCTGCTTGCCGCCCTCCTGCACCTGCTGCATTCGCTTCCCTTCCCACGTCTTCCTGCACCAGCCTCACGCTGCCCCGAAATCCTTCAAAGCCTCATTCTAAGTGCTGGGGGCACAAAGATGAGGCCCAGGCTGCGGGGCCATGCCACCTGTGGCCTGAAACGTCTGTGGTTTATGTTCTTAGTTCAGTAAAATATGCTCTTGAAATTCAAGGTTGAAATTCAGACTTTATGTATATTCAAAATTCCTCATTACAAAGAAAAAGTCATTTACTCAATGGGAGAATTTTAAATGCTGACCAAAGCAACTTATTTTTAATTAACGTTTTTAGACTGTACCCTCTTACTAATCTCACTGCTAGCTAAGAAGCCTGTCAGAGATTTAGATATATTTTCTCCAGGTTTTTTGTGGGTTTTCTGTCGTATGTATGACAGACTATTTCTAAAGGTGTGTTGGCTCAAGTGACTGTTCTCCAGCACCACGTGTGCGTTCCTCTGCAGGTGGGGATGGAATGAGTACCCCTCCCAGCAGCCAGGTGCTGAGCGAACCCAGTGCCAGATGTGTTCCTGAGGCTCTTCCTCCCTTTCAAAGTCACTGGAACCTCCTCTGACTCAGGCCAGGCCATGTGTTGCCATCAAGGGGCTGACTGAAATGTTCAGCTTTTTCGTGAAGCGCAGACAGCAGTTTAGATGAGCGGAAATCTTGTGCTTTTGAAACGGATGATACCAATGGAAATAAAAGGTGGAAAATATATGTAAAAGTTGTCAGCCTCACTTTGTAATAAGTTACTGAAACTCCTCAATTATTTAAATGTTAAATATTGGGCCGGCCCGGTGGCGCACTGCTACAGTGCGCCGCTTGGGAGCACGGCGGCGCTCCCGCCGAGGGTTCAGATCCCACATACAGACCGGTTCCCGCTCACTGGCTGAGCGAGGTGCGGGCGCAGCGCTGAGGGTTGCGATCCCGTTGCTGGTCCCGGTCTGGTACGGGCGTGACACTGAGGGTTGCGATCCGTTGCCGGACACGAAAAAAGACAAAAAGGAAAAAAAAAAAAAGTTAAATATCTGGGTGACCCAGAGCTTCCTTTCGATTCCAGGATGTTTGTTTCCACTGAGTTTTGTGAGGAAACATCACGGCGCCCTCAAGAGCAGCAGAGGAGTTCTGCTGGAAAGGGTCACCTGGGGAAGCAGGGAAGCTGAGGTGCCCCTATAGTGACTTGCCTTGGAAGTGGCCTTGTTTGAGACCATATCACACGGGTGTTGGGCCTAAATTGAAGCTTTTGGCTAACAGGGTGCGGTCCTGCGCTTGTTCAGCCTCCAGAACTGTGAGCAACATCGTATAACTTCGTATAATGTATGCTATACGAAGTTATGAGGGTTGCGATCCGTTGCCGGACACGAAAAAAGACAAAAAGGAAAAAAAAAAAAAGTTAAATATCTGGGTGACCCAGAGCTTCCTTTCGATTCCAGGATGTTTGTTTCCACTGAGTTTTGTGAGGAAACATCACGGCGCCCTCAAGAGCAGCAGAGGAGTTCTGCTGGAAAGGGTCACCTGGGGAAGCAGGGAAGCTGAGGTGCCCCTATAGTGACTTGCCTTGGAAGTGGCCTTGTTTGAGACCATATCACACGGGTGTTGGGCCTAAATTGAAGCTTTTGGCTAACAGGGTGCGGTCCTGCGCTTGGCTCCAGGCGTGGCTGCTGGCCTCCCACCTGTGCTTGGTGCTGATGGAGAAAGCTGGGGAGTCGCAGCCACACCAGCGGCCCGACGGCCCGACTGTCTCGTGAAGAGAGGTACGCGGGGAAGCTGGCTTTGGAGCTGGGCCAGTTCAGGGTGGAAGAGCACACTGTATCCAAGCAAGGCTGCCTGTCTCCATGAGCGACCCAACTGCTCCTGTGACACTGGACAGGCAGCGGTGGAGGGAGGGTGCTGGCACCGCAGAGTTAGAGGCCAACACAGCAGGGGTCCTGGGAGGGTTCTCCTTGGAAAGTTAGAGGAGGATGGAGAACATTCTGGACCTGGGACAAATGAGGTGGGGGTAGGGGGAGAGAAGGATGAGGGTGGATGGACTGCTGAGTAAATTACGGAGCCCTGAAGGCAGGCAAGGGGTTAGATTTGATGGGCCATTAGGGGACTTGGAGCAGGAGTGGACGAGGAAGGCAGGTGAGGTTGACCTGGGGTGTGCGATCACGTGCTGGGCCTGGTCAGGTATCCTGGGCGTTGATCCCTTTGCTTGCAAAATTCTGTCTGCTTCTGGCTCTGGTGATACTGACATGCACTGTCTCTGTTTTCCTGCCAATATATATGTCTTATAGACAGTTCCTGTCCCTCTTACTCTAGCCAACTGAATGGATGTATCAAAGGCAGACTCCTTCTGGTTACTTCCTTCATAGAATGGCAGCTGTGGTGTGGCAGGAAGGGGACAAGGTCTAGTCCAGGAGATCTGGCAGCCCTGTGCATACCATGTCTCGTCCTTGCGGGAACCAGAGAGATGATGAACATCAGGTCGTCTTTATACCTTTGTCATCTAGCAAAGATCTCTGTGCTATGGAAATAAAAATTACCCAAATATGTTATACTATCTAAGTGCAAAATAGTGGTTTTCTATTTTCTCCTCTTTCTCCGGGAGAGGCAGTCTGGAGAGAATGAATGCAGCAGCCCGTGTCTTCAGATCCACATCCGCTGGGTGTTTCTCTGGGCACATGGGAGCATGTGTGTTTTCTTCTCTGCCACAGTTGGATGAGCAGGAGCTGCTGAGGCAAGAACACAGTGTCACCTGTTACGTACATCAATGAACGTCTTCTGTCAGCCAAGGAACCTCCGAGAATGTGCATGGCAGTACAGGCCCAAAACTTGGGCAGTCGTGTCTGCCCGCACTTCCCGCAATGTCACTTCAGCCTTTTGGGAAGCCCCCTTCCTGGTGGGCAAGTCCCTCACTGCAGCCGTAGGCCCTGGAGAAGCGTTGCCAGACAGCGCTGGCTCCTGTGCACCAGGCTGGGTGGCTGCTTCCTGGACCTTCTACCCCAGACCCTGAAACAACAGCCCTCCTGGGCTCATGCCAGAAAATGATGGGCCCTCCAAAGCGGTATTCCCCGCTGACCCCTGGACAGGCTAAAGACGTCTTGGTCTCTTCCCAGCCACTCCTAGCATGAGTGACAGTGGCGGGCGCCCTTATTTCACCCACGAGGAGAGGCGGCCTGTGCAGGAGGCAGTGCGGGGCAGGAGGCCGGCGCTGCGGACCCTGGAGCCTGTACCTCCGAGGGAGGCTGGGCCAGTTTGCGAAACAGAACAGGACATACTCAGTGCTTTCAACATTAAGGGTGTGTATTCCAGTTCTCCACAAGGGTCCTCACGACAAACGTTGCCAAAACAACCTGGCTCAGTGGCTTTTGGGAAAAAGTCATTTCTACTCAGCAGGAAAGGTGGGAGCTTGGGGCCGTCAGTCCGGAGACCCTAGGAGGTGGCGGGTCCCAGGGTCGGCCAGGTGACAAGGCCTGTTGGCCCAGGGGGCGGGGAGGGAGTGGAGGAAGGTCCTCCGGTCAGGGCCACCCGGCCTCCGAGCCGCCTCCCGTCAGGAGGGTCTGGCGAGTCCGTCGCGAAGGAGAGGCCGCCCCCGGCGCCCGGGTCGACGCACGGCTCTGCGCGGAACGGCGGGCTCAGGCGGCGGCGGCGGGCTCAAGCGGGCGGCGGGTGGCGGTGGCGC